ACAATACAGTGCAAAAACACTGTATACAATACAATACACTGCATACAATACAGATATTGAGTGTCGCGCCACTTTTATGAAGTGAAAAAAATATTTCCTAGAAACTAACTACAAGAACTAAAAGTTACCTGTGGCATAGCCCCCTCAGTGGCAGCCACCACCAAAATGGCGCCTTCCATCTGCGCTGTACCTGTAATCATATTTTTGATATAATCTGCATGACCTGGACAATCGATGTGAGCGTAATGCCGTTTCTCCGTCTCGTATTCCAAATGGAATGCATTAATAGTTATGCCTATAATCAAAATTACATTCAAATAAATATATCTTTACACGTTGTACAAATAAATATATTTTGCACCTTCTATAATTTTGCGCTTTAGTTACGGAAGCAGAAATTTGTTTCTGTCTCTTTGAAGTGTTAACTGCAATCAGAAGATACGATCCTAGAAGGAAATGTATGCAAACGTGGTAATCACCAGTAGCAAAAAGCTAACCCGATATTCACGAGATCACAGATTACGGGATCCAGAAGTTTGTATGCACTTCTGATGGAGTACTTTTGGAGGATTAGCAGAAATGAATAATACGAAACAGAAATAGAGGCGAGTTTGATTTAGTACAAGAGCTCATAGCCGTAAAGAAAAAGTATAAAACTAAAATCAGTATATGAATACAACAAACCGCGAGCTTTTTCTTCCGGTGCATTGTCGATTTCATCGTATTTTCTAAATTTTGCGCCTTTTTTTGTTGCCAGAACTGGAAAACTTTGAGTGAATTTAAATGAGACAATTCTGTTGTAGGAAAAACTAACCAAAAACTATCAAGAAGTAAATTTTAAATTCAAATGCTAAAAAAAAACTGCTCAAACCTTTGGTAATAGCCGAAGAGAGTGTCGTTTTGCCATGATCCACGTGTCCAATGGTACCAACGTTGAGATGAGGCTTCGTTCTCTTGTACGCTTGCTTAGCCCCCGGAACAGCAAAGCATCGAGCATGTTGTACTTGGGCTAATTTTATCAAAAAATTCTCGCGAAACCCTCCTGCAGCACTCACTATTTCTGTAATGTGACAATCAAGTTTATTAACAGAAACAAAAGTGGAACCAGATCTGGTTACACAAATTTAACACTACTCGCCTGAAGACTTTCAATTATTTCGATTCTATCACTGTATTTTTTCTATCTTTGGCAAAAAATGGAAATTGCGAGAAACAGCAGTATAATAAGGTCCCTAGCACTGCTTCATTATTTCCATTTGAAATGAATTATGCAGCATCTGAGCAGCTGACGAACAATTAACTTCACCTAGAAAGGAAGAAATGTGACACTTACTGGGACATGCTAGCATAGATCGGTGACATACGGAGTATACCAACATAACTTGCTCCAAGTACCCTGAAAATCGTTACTAATCACTTCTAATTTGTTTATCAAATAGCCTACCATGACGGATGTCACCATTAAGAGTCAAAGACATTAAATCATAAAGAGAGGCCGTGCCAGCTTATAACCAGCTGAAGAAGGCTTCGCCGTTGTTTGTTAATTATCATTGGGATTCCTTGAATGATGGGCGGGGTAGAGAGTGGGTATCCTGGATTTACCGAAGAACTAGTACTTCGAAATAATGACAAATACATATTACTAGGCCTTTTGTAATATGACAAATACATATTACCAATATTATCTGGAAAATTTTCAAACAGCACATATATTAATGAGCTAAATAGCTAAGATATTAGTAGATCTTATTAAGTACTGGGAGTACTAAGCACATATTCTGATCACAAATCCGCAGAAAAACCCGTGGTACCATGATAGACGAACGATTCATTTTAGACTGTTAGCATGAAGGAAACCAAATACCATTATGCTATTGATTCATAATATTGATCACGTTTAATATCAGATCGCATCAGGAAGTAATGGCAGAATTGGATTATTTATTTCTGGGATCAGTTGGTTTCTTGATGACAGCACTAATGCTTATTATCGTACGCGTTATTAAATTGTATTTTGATGAGAAACGGGCTCGAGAGCGTAAGGAAGCATTACGCGCAATGGCAGCTGACGAACATGTCGCGACAAATGAGCGTGACGTTGTTGGTAAAATTTGGAATAGTGTAAGGCCAGTAAGGTTGATCTGAGATATTCTGAAAGCTATGCCATCTTGTTTCCATCATTTTTCTAATTGATATAAAATTAAGGGTGAACTGGTTCGGAGCAGTTTCTCCTATAGTTCAGAAATATCTGTTTCCAAGTCTTCCGGTCCAATTTACATTTTATTTATTTTTAACAGTTAATAAATTTATACGAAATTGTAGTGGTCGGTGGACGACGGACAGCACGTCGTAGAATACGTCACGATGTGGATGGTGAAAATGATAATGGTATGGATTTCGTAAGAAGTGCTGTAGTCCAAGCTGATGATATTTCGGAACAGGGTAATTCTGTTATTGAATTAATTAATAAATGACCTTTGTTGTTGCTTTCTAATATGTTGTATATGATGGATGAAGAAATGCAGTGACATTTTTAGCCATTCTTTGAATATATGCTATTCATTAAGGTTGGAAACAATCTGAATCTGGTGATTCGTTAGCCTCATTGATCTGATATTCTTTTAATTATAGGGCTGAAAAGATGAAATTCATGCAATAATTACAGAAGATGACGAATCACCATTAGCTGAGCTAGCCAAAGATGAGTATTTTGGTAAGAAGAAGCTAGCGAAACTTCAAGCTAAAGAAGAACGACGGAAACAAAGAGAAGCTGTAAGTTTGTTTGCTTTGGTCATAAAGTGCTGATAATACAATTTTTTTCATTTATATCTTAACGTTTTCGAATTTATATTTCTATGCAGGAATTGTTGGAGCGAGAGGAACGGAAAAAACGGGAACAGGAAAGAGAAGAACGCCTACAGAAGGAACGTGAAAAACAGAAGGAGGAAGAGGAAGAGGAGCGTAAGAGGAAATATCAGGAAAGAGAAGAACGTGAGAAACGAGAGGAAGAGGAGTATCGAAAGGTCTATTTAAATTATGTAATTTTGATGGTAAAATAAAAGGAGAACTTTGGCATTGGTTAAAAATTGTACTGTTTGTGCATCAGAGATATATACTCTAGCTTCTAAAAAAAAAAATTCTAGCTTCGAGAAACCTTTGCGGTTGATGAAGAAGGATTCGACCAAATTGATGGTGAAGAATCACAAAATCTTCTACGCGATTTCGAAGAGTATGTTCGTAAGACTAAGGTTTGTGATCTGGAAATTTTTTCTTTTTATTTTTCTGCATTAATTCAGTAAAATACGACTACTATAATGGTGATAAAACATGCGAGATAGAGTTAGTTGAGTCTGAGAGTCTATTATTATCCCTTCTCTTTCCTACTTTCATAGCTGTCGTTTCCAATAGCTTAGAGGGATGGTACCAGGACGGTTTTGATATTAGCAGTCAGTTTGTTAATATTAAATGTAGGTATGGAAGAGTTCATTCATCGATATTACGGGTTTTTATATTTCGTATATACTTAATATTTTGAATTGTGGAGGGAATACGACAGATAATGAAATGGAATAGGAAAATTCTGAAAAAATTTGCAGTGGTTTCGGGAATAGGGAAATATTGTTGGCTTTACAGGTTGTTAATATCGATGAACTAGGTGCTCATTTCAATCTGCGTACGGAAGATGCAGTAGACCGGCTTAGCTTTTTGGTTGGCAATGGCACTTTGACAGGAGTAATGGACGATCGAGGAAAATTCATTTATATTACTTCAGATGAACTTCAAGCCGGTTAGCAAATGTTTTAGTTTTTTATTTATTAATAATATCAAAGATTGTTATCCGGAAAGGCCTTGAGTCTTTTTTAAATTCGAACATTTTTTCTACTCACGTTCCAATCCAAAGTAAGGTATTTATAATAATACTAAGGTTTCTAGCTAAAAATTATATGTTGAAGAGTAAAACTGAAATAAACTTCTCTTCTAGTTTTTATCCGAAATAAAACATTTAGGAACAGCAATACTTTATAATTTAGCCCACGATTAGTATATTTTTCTGGTCATACAGTGACACCAAAATGAAGAAATTTAAGAACGTAAATACCTGACAACGTTCTGTAAAGGTGTTATTCCAGTGGCAAAATTTATCAACCAACGCGGTCGAGTGTCGAGAGCAGAATTGGTTGAATATAGTAATAAATTGATTGCTTTATAATCACAGTCTATGGAACATTTATGGGAAACAGTGGCCTCGTGAGGTATTGTTTAGTTGCTCGCTGTTAAAATTTTGTGATATTTTGATCGGGTTTTGAATTTCTTCAATAAGGTATAATTGCAATAGTTTCTCGGTTTTATTAAATGGGATGGCAAGTGGATAAGCGCGAATATCTGAAAAATACTGTAAGTGCTTGGGTTTCGTGTTTCCACTTTGAAGTCATGCGAGAACAAGTATAAGTTGTACGACTACAGCCAAGTAAGATAAACTAAAAAAATTGCAAGTAAATTAGTAGTATTAATCTTGCGCTTAAACATTTGCTGGCACATATCTGTTGATTTTTTCTCAAGAAAACATGTTTTGGTTTTGAATTGGGATAGCTAAGATACCTTGATACTTATATTCAAACCAACGGGAAGCACGTGCGAGGTATCAACATGGAATTAAGTCATCAGTGCCTTTTTATTGGACCATCAAAACTAGGTAATTGTACTGCGATGCCACACACAATCTGATTAGGTACGGACATTTGTGTAGGTGTATTTACTGTTAAGGTACCTTGACAGGTACGATCACTTATACGAATTTTTACACTTGTAAGCGGTAAGTAGCACACGGAAAGTTACTGCCGTTCGGTAGTTTCCTGAGTTTCTGCTCATATCCACATATGTTGCTGTCATCCTCTTGTATATTACTCTGTTAATGGTGCAGTGTGTTAGACTACTATTGTGCGACAAATTTATTCCTTTTTCATCTCCAACAGTATTCTAACTCTTGCTGTAACCAGTCTTTAATCTGGTGATTTTACACACTTATTTTCCCTACATCACTTGTCATCGTTGGTCATTATGCGCATGTACTACAAACTTTGAATTTGGGGAAGTTGAGGAAGGATGCACATAAGCAAGTTTTGATTTTGTTGTGTTATACGAATAACTTCCAACTGCATTGTTTCTAAATACTGCACATTAGAATCAGTCATCTTGCAGCGGTGAAGGCCATATGGTCCTGCGTGCCATATTTTTGGAAAAACGTGTACCTTTAAAATCATATTATTTCAATTGCTCTCTGAACAGTAGAAAGTTTTATTTTTAAAAACAAATAAAAAATGTGAAAAACAAATAAAAAATGTGAAAAGTGCGTGATAGATTGCAAAAGTCGTTTAAGAGAGTTGTTTTTTTTTCTGTTTTGTTTTTTTTCTGTTTTTTTTATTAATATAATAGAAGCTTGCAAAGCCGTTATCACATTGCAGGTTCGAAATATAAACTGCTAAGTTTCCAGGTTACAGCTCACGTTAGACATGCTTAAGGTTTTGCTACGGAAATGCATAAAAATCTTCCTCAGTGATTCTCACTTTTTTTTTGTTGATGAATGTAGAAAAACAACGGAACAAGAACAAAAAATAATAAGCCATTTAAGAGCGACTGCGTCGGCGTCGTGGACTACGGCTTCGAGATCGATTGAAGCGACTTGGACCCAGTGGAACCATATTTCCGCCGGTCCCGTGCGCACGGGGTGGACTGCGGTATCTGCGTGGTGACAGGCCACGGAATCTGAAAAAAATTACGTTTAAAAAACCAGGACATGGTAAAGTATAAAACCGAAAATTCATTTGATAAGACGATCTGCATCTATCAATAAAGCCCAGACTATAACGAGACTCTGGTCATTCACGGGAACGATAGCGAAAGGATTAATCTATCAATTGGGTCAAGCGATAGTTTGGACCATTTTGTCCTTACTAAACAACAAGCGGCAGCAACTTTTTAACTTTCATGAAACCTCTGGAATGTTTTTTGCTGCATTTTGAAAATGTCATTGCTACCATTCCCGACCGTTATGGAATTTTAATATGGCTTAGAACATTAAAACCCCGTTCTTTCTTATATATTCAGTGAATGATGAAAAAGAAGAGGTACTTACCGAAGTGGTGAGAGCGGGCGTCTTCCACTTCCATTCAGCGTGGAACGAGGTGGATGTGTTAGTTCGCAAGTGACTTCCTGGCCATCGATCTGTCCACCGTCCATATGTTTCAACGCTTTCTCGGCATCTTCCGGTTGTTCGAATTCTACATACCCATAACCTTAAAACATATAATAGAAACATTATGCAAACAATATGTATTTGGCCGATAAAATTAATAAGTGGACAAAAAATTCCTTGAAGAGAACTCTTCAAAAGGGACAGCACGCTAGGATTAACTGAGATCAAGAACAGAGCTTAAGAAGCGACGCTACAGCACCGCTCATAGTTTTAAAGTTGCGCAAGGAAGTTGAGGTAGTTATACCAATACAACTAAGCTAAGTTGTGACGTGAAGCCGAAAAAAGGCGAAAAACCTCTGCCAAGATGTGTATGTTGCCGATCCATAGGTAATTCACAGGTTCTTAAAGTTCCATAGACGCTAAAGATTTCCGACAAGTGTTCCTTTGTAACATTGCGGCTCAAATTACGCACACACAGACGACGAGGTAGTGGCGTTACTTTGCGGGCTGGACTTGCCTGAAAACGAAGGTTTTCTAAAGCTCACGATAAAATCGAGTAATTAAGCCTATCACTTAAGACATACTGAAAGAAGTTTACAATGTCAGCTATCAAACTATTCTCGTTTATCACGTTTAACAAGCAGTCATGCTATCGCCGGGAAGCGCTATCTGGTTTAATTGGCTTTAA